GTCAAAATTCCACATTCATCCACTAGTGGTGAATGCCTACATGTTTTTGTGTCCTAGTTTGGGGTTTATTCAGTTGGACAGATAACATACCAAGAGATGCCCCTATAGGAAGTGTCTACTAGAAAACTTCTTCATCAGTTAAGTTCAGTATTTGTTGAGTATCTTTTCTTTGTCTGCTGATTTGTGATAGTGCACAGACCAACCTTTTGACTGCAGGGGATAAGTGCATGAGAAATGTACATCAGACCCTCCGTATGAAAGCCATTCTCTCTTCCAGAAACACTGTTCAGGAATTATTTATGGTGCCTACATGTACCAATTACAATTTCAATAAGTGACATACTGACACCATTGGAATCAGGAGAGAAATCTCTTCTGTTTTAGTGCCTCCTCAGATGTTGTCAAGAACTCTAGTAGAACATATCATTAAAATCTGGACAATAACTGTTCAACAATATTTTCCCTTTAATAAACTACTTCTCTTTTGAAATTACTATAGACCCCCAAAAATGTCTCTTTCATTGATACTTCAAATAATTCATAGTAGTGGTAATAAACTAGGTTTCTGTGAGTCCCTGTGTGGTGCTAAGGGAGTCTTAACATAACCTTTTCATGCTTTCATACAGCTTCATGTGCAAATGCCCATGGCTGAACATTGCTGTGAAAAAAAAATGTAGTCAGTGCTGAATTTTTTAAGAGATTCTAGAGACATCATGTCAAAATATAGCTTTCATTGCCAAACAGCATATACCATTACGGATGTAATAACTTAAGTTTTGTGCATATTTTGAACTTTAATGTACTTAATACGTTTTTTAAAGTAATTTGGTAGTTTGAGAGTTTTGATGTGCCTACTTTTTTAGTCTAAGAATAAATAAAATTGTTGAAGTTGACATGTCTGAGGCACAATTCATGCCTCTGTTGTATTAACTAAAGAGCTAAAAGTGGTGGGGGCAGAGCATTGGAATTCCATACACTTTTCCAGCCAGCTAGCTGCTAAGTATCTAGATGCTTTAGAAACAGGTTCTATTTTAGGATTTCATTACCAAAGCTATTGGAAATTACATAGGCTCTGAGATACCACTTAATTTATAATATATTGATTGTCTCCTGTATTAATGGGTTTCATATTGCTACCAGAATCCCTACTAAGTAGTGTATAATTGGAATATCTCCCACTATATGTACATCCACAATGTCTGGCACCTAGTTCATTTCCTGATACTATAACTATATACCTGAAAATGTGGGATTATTTTTTTTTTGGCCAAAGTTTTATTTTCTTTGGTTCATGAATCTGGGAAATCCAATATTAAGTTGTTGATATCCAGGATGAACTTCCTGCTATGTCAACTCTTCATAAAAATGGAAAGGGCAAGGTGCTAGGGAGAGCAGTAGAACACAGGGAGCTAAGGTCAGTTTTATGACAACTAAATGCTCATGCTAAAAATATCTCCTTCCTGTGGCCAAATCATTAATCTTTTAATGAGAACAGGAGCCTTTAGATCTAGCTACATCTTACTAAACCAAGTTGCCCACCATTATCAACAGCTGTATTATCAAGTAAATTCTAAAACTTTTAATTATGAGGATACACTCAAAACATAGCATATCCAGAGATAATAGAACTGAAGTTTGACAAAATAATATACAAACTTTTGCATAGGATTAGCAATAAATTTCATTATTTTGTGTACAAACCATATGGTATTAAAAATTTGCAGTTCACATATGAAAAATTTTACTAGCACATCTCCACTAAGTAATGAATTATTTATACAGTTGTGTATATATAACTTATGGTTTGATACAGCCTAGAAAATTAGTGGTGTGTAAGCCGTAGTGATAACAAGCATGGTGTATTCCTTTATAGGATACCCTGTAGCAGGCTTTTGATTTCTGGCCACCAACCAGCTCTCAAATCATGACATGGAGACATATTAATAGTTTTGAATTCTCAGTCCTAGCTTAGCTCTTATAGTAATCTCTTTCTAAAAGCACAAGTGGGGAGTGACCTACTGTCTTGACAGGTCCTTAACATTGTCCAATTCATGTTTACATCATAACCAAAGAAGGTGGTGTTAGGTATTGATGCCCATAATAGGTTCATCCAATGCATACCTCCACATCACAACCAAAAGATGTTGGTATTAGGAACTGATGCCTACACTAGGTAATTAATGACTGGGATTGGTGCTCTAATAAAAGAAGTCTGAAAGAACTCCCTTGTCCCTTCCATATTATGGAGTTTACAGGTGAGGGGCAGGGAAAACACATCTGTCATTTATGTAGGAGCTGGTGACACAAACCCCAGTCCTCATGCTTGTTCAGGATGCATGTCAGCTCCTGAGATACCTAATCAGACTCTCATTTGAGCATTTGACCATTAATTTAACAAAATCAGTTTATAGGAAAATTCCATAGCAGTTTCATTACTTTGGGAGATTTATAGACACTGAAGTCTTTATTGAAGATTCATTTTATCTACCCAAGAGAAATGAAATTCTCTGTTGTCTTTCATCTATGAAGAAGGTTTTCTGTGGAAGCAGAATAAAACTCAAGTTTCAAAATTCATACTAATATTATCATTTGATATTTAATTCTGTCTTAAATAATTCTCATATAAACTTGAATTTTTCTTATTACCTCCTCTTAGAGAAATAACAAGCAATTTATCTTTGCTACTTTGTCAAAAATTAAGTAAACAACAGTTTCCTGTTTATGTATTTAATTGCAAGATGGATAGTACAAATATGTTTTTCTCAAATATTTTCAACCCCCAATGCCCTTGCAATCATTCAATTTCTTATGCTATTTTTAAGTTTTATCTGATGCTCTCCATTGTAAAGATTTATAATTTATCAATATAGTAGTCAAGGTTCTAAAACTTGAGACTTCCTATCAGGCAACCCTCCTTTTTTTCTTTTTTCTTTTTTTGTCCTGTGTCGGGATTTAAATTCAGTAGGTGACAAGTACATTTTTTTCAATAGATAACTTTATCTGCATTGGTGTTCATGTGCTATTATCCTTTCACTTCTTATTTGTATTTGTTTTTTCTTCTTTACTTTCTTATAGTTCATTTCTTCTGTCTAACCACACAATTATTTGTCTTTATACCTGGAAATATTCAGTTATGTGAGTCTGCTTATCTTGTGTCTCAAAACAGCTTTGAATCCTAATCTTATTTCTTTATTACCAATGAATTTTAAGTAATCTGGACAATTAGTGAAATTTTTATTGTTCCATTTCATGGATAATCAACGAAATATCCTGGTCTATAAAGTCTCTAAGAGTGGCTTATCAGGAATACAGTTAAGTGCTCCTAAGAAAATAATACCAACTAATAAATTCTTGGTACATTTCTATAGCCAGCTGAGACTATAAATATGGTAAATGGTATATTTGGTGGTCCCAGTACGTCTCAGAGTAGAGATTTTTCATAGTGACTGTAGCTCTACCAAAATTCATTGAAAAGTAATAAGAACTACACAAAGTTATGCCCATATGGAAAAACACATCGGCTGCCATTTGGTTTTCAGATGGCATGCTGTAGTCAAAACTGAATTTAAGTTGTTTCTTCTGCCATTTATATAGTATCACATTTGGCCCAATTTAGCTCATTTAAATGTTATTGTGAAATTAGCATACTGTAGGTGCTGGCTGCACATAATAACTGAACACTGGTGGGTAAAAGTTGTTGAGAAATACCTGATTGTATTCAATGCTTATGCTCCAGTCCAGGTGAGGAGACATCTGGTGATGAAGGAGATCACAGAAGAAAGAAACCCTAATTTTGAAAATGTTATTTTATCTTTTACACATTTTTCAGTAGGATATATACAATATGCAAATTAAAAGATGACTAGGAAATCAAACATCCTCTCTTACTGCAGAGGATCATTAGAGAGAGTTAATGTTCCCTGGACTTGGGTGGACAGTGGGGAGAAAAGCATTAAGAGAGAACCATGCTTTATGAGTCCTAAATGTGGGAAAGTAATGAACTCAGAAATAGCACAGTGTTGATAATATTATGCCATGTATTATAGAGAACTTTACTAATTATATCTTAACCATTTCTCTACATTCTTCTGAAGGAGTCATAGCTATTTGTATTTTTTATTGACGTCCCTTAGCCTTTATCATACATCATTTTTCCACAAGTATTCTTTTTACTCTAGGAATGGTTCATTGTAAATTATTTTATGAACAGAAATTCATAAATTCTCTCACAAGAAAGAAATAATGTAGGAATTCATACAAATGGAAACAAAAGAAAGAATATTTAGAGATGTTAATTCTGTAAGTCCTGCTCAGCCCATCACTTGCTAAGTTTTGTTTATTGCAATTTTATAACAGGGATGGTAGATAAAGGAAAGAAAAAACCATTAAACATAGAGTTTACTTGAGTATGTTAGTACATAACTCTAATCCCATCATATGGGGATAGGGACAGGGATATCAGTAATTCAACATCACACTTGGTGTCATAGATGTTTCATGTAGCTGAGAGAAAAGAAACTGAAGAATATGAATTATAGATGTTTAAAAATTATATAGGAATAAAATTGCATTTATGTGAAACCGGGTATAGTGATTAAAAGGGGTATGTAGGGGCTAAAGCAATGAATTAGTAGATAAGAGTAATTTCTAATTATGGAGAAAAGCCTGGTTTGATTCGTAGCACCCACTGGATAACATATAAGAGCCTCTATCCCCAATTCCAAAACATCAGTACCCTCTTCTGGCCTCTGTGGGCACAGACATATACATGGCACATATAAATGCATGTAGGTGCACACAATACATAAATTGAAAAATATACAAATCTTTAAAATAGAGGTGTTACACAAAAACAAAAAATAAATATAAAAATAGAAATAACAATAAGAATTTAAAAACTGAAATGATAGGGGTTTTATATATTTAGGCAACAGACAGGCAATAGTGAGTGATAGGGGTATGTGTACTCTTGCACACGTTAAACAACAAAACAGAATTACCATCTTAAAGTGAGTCCTACTTAGATTCCAGGATAAACTTTCCTTTAGAGAAGAAACTTGAAGCATGATTTTATTTAGGTGATTCAGGATTATGTCTCTCTGCTATGAAGACTAATATGATACCTGAAAGAGAGTAGACACAAAATTGAATCTACTGATTGACTGCTTGTGAGAGAGTCTCAGACCTGATATTCTGGAAGTAGAAAAACATCACATGATGGTGAAAAATCCGGGTCATCTTGCTAAACCTGGATGCTTAGTTTGAGAGCTTGAGGAAGGAAGACAGTGAGGACACAACCTGGAAACTGAAGAATGCTAAGGCCAAAATAATTCCTAGATGCAGTGATTCCATAGCAATCATGAGAGTGTTTGCACACACACACACACACACACACACACACACACACACACACACACACACACACACCAGCACACACACACGAGAGAGAGAGAGAGAGAGAGAGAGAGAGAGAGAGAGAGAGAGAGGGGGGGGGGGGGGTTTCAAAGATAACATAAGTAGCAATTGGTGGTTTTTGAGTTCACTGGGGAGTGAAGAATAAGCAGCTTGCTGCTCTCTCCTCTGAGGCTCTTAAGCTGTTGGAAGTGATTGGGCACATGAGAGGACAGGTAACAGAGTTAGAAAAGATTGCATGTCACATAGTAATTTAGTTTAAATCATATTTAGTAAGAGAAAGAAATGGCTCTCATAAAAATAAAGAAATTTGTTCAAGAAGCACAGAGATGTGGAGTAGGGGTTGAAGATTGGAGGCTCCAATGTGAGAAGACTTAGGGTTGACAAAAAATGAATGTTATATCAGGGATAAGGTAAAATGCTGCCAAAGATACCAGGAAATTATATCTTTAGTCCTGAAAACTACTTATTTTGCTGTGGTTACTGGGTATGCAGTAGGGATTGTTAAGGAACAGGTAAATGTGTGTTAACACTAGCATTTAATGTGTTTTATAGTGCTCCTCATTTTGTTAGTATTTATTTCCCATTTTACTACTTTCCAAAAGGAAATAGACAGTTAATACAATGTAGCCAGTCAATGAACAGATGTATTTTAAGAGTAAGACAATAAAGAGAACATTAATTGGACACTTGGTATGCTTTACTTGGGGCTTGAAAAGCTTTTAAGGAAACAGTCATATCCCCAAAGACTATTAATACATAATACCAAAATTATCCCTAAACCATGGAGTATAAAATAGTAAATAAATTACTATATATTTACTCAGGGTTAAGATGTGAATGGACTTTCACTAGCTTTAACCAGTAAAATGTTTTGGTTTTAATCATAGTCATGGTTTCCTGTGGTTATCTTTTCAGAAAAGCACCAACACTTTGATTATGGTGGAAAGGACTATTTTTATATGTGCATAGGGACAGGTAGAATGGGTTAAACAGTGGAAAGAATAAACACAGACAGAACAATGAGAGCCAACATGCAAGGATTACAAAGTGATGAGTGATGACATGTCATAATTCAATGAGATAAGGGAATGTGATGGATTTCGTGACCATGCAGTACCTCACTGGCAGCCTGGTCTCCTCTTGGATGCAGCATGATTACACTGGTCTGCAGGAGACCAAAGAGCCCTGGCATTAGGATCTGCTGTGATGGGTTCTGACATATTACTAAGTAGCTCTCACAATTAAATTAACCTATTTCTATTATTCTATATTTGACCAGGAGGCTCATGGCTTGTTACCTCACATCTTGTTTCTCTGGCAGCTCCATAGTGTCTCCCTGATTTATCTTTCTTGCACTCTATATCTGTTTGGATTTTTTGACTGTATTGTGCCTGACCATTGGACAAAACAGCTTTGTTTATCAACCAATAAAAAACAACACATAGTCACAGCATACAGAGGAATATCCCCACATCGATGGAAAGCTGTTAAAAAAAAAAAAAACATAGAATTCACATGGCTACTTCTCAGATACATACTTGTTTTTTTCATCTGTAAATATGGGTGCCAGTTTCTTTTTTTCTTTTCTTTTCTTTTTTTTTTTTTTTGCTTCTTAGCCAAAATTGAAAAATTTGAGAAGCCCTCAGTTAAGTTTAACTAATTTTACTATTTTTATTCCTGTTTAGTATTCATCTTTCTTTCACCCTCTTACTCTGTCCTCTGCCTATTTGTCTATTTGTCTTTCAATTTTGTCTCCGTTTCTCTCTCTCTCTCTCTCTCTCTCTCTCTCTCTCTCTCTCTCTCTCTCTCTCTCTAGGTCTGGTTGTGGGTTTCTCATATGGGTTATATGTGTGTGGTCCCTGCACATAACTACATCAGTGCACACACCAAAACATGTTACTGTGGAGGCTGGAAGAAGACATCATGTATCATTTTCCAATTTATTCCCTTGAAACAAGGTCACTGAACTGAACCACTAGATTTTTTTTTAACTTGGTTGGCTGACCAGACTGCTCGTGAGACCTCACTGCCTCTTCTCTCCAGTTATGGGGTTACAGGCATACACACAGGCTTGCAGGCTTTTCACATTGTAGCTGTGGTTAGAATGCTGGTCCTTATGCTTGCATATCAAGGCTATTACCTAAAGTGTTATCTCCCCAGCCCATACTTAACCTGTTTGGATCATGAATCATATCTTTTTCCTGTTACCCCTTGTAAGTTAATTTCATTTTTCATGCTTTTATATTCTACATAACCATGCCACATGAGAACACTCTTCTTTATCGAATAGTTCACAATTTATCTTAGCCCTTTTCTTCTACTAATAAGATACATTCATTATAAAGAACATATAAATCATAAAGGAGTTCTATTATGATTCAAAAATTTTTCTTCTTATTTATGGTTCATTTTGTAAAGAGATTTTTTCTCTCTTAAAGTGAAAATAAGAGTTCAACTTTCTATTCCAAGTTCCTTTATGAAAAATGACAATAATTTTCAGTCACATGCTGAAATAAAAAATATTATAGATATGATCCTAAATGTTTTTAAAAATACTAATGAAAGCCTTTCCACCATTGTTAATTTTATTCATATTGCTGTGTTAGAACTATATAAGAATAGTGTAGATATATTTACATGAGGAAATAGTCTAAGTCTTCAGGTGGGTTTACCCTGCAGATTGGTGATTTTCATCTCTGTAACTGGCAGCAATGTATTTTTAAAAGGAATATGAATGATCAAGTGTTAATATGTGGGACCATATTAAAAGTAGGGGTTTCTGAACACAATCAAGGTGCCCTGATTTGTTTTTTTTTTTCACTTTTCTTTAATTTCGAGCAGATTAGACAACAAAACTAAGTTGTAATGTCTGATGTATTTTAATAGCTCGCCTCAGAGTATTAAAGTCTAGGGACTGGAATATATAGATAAGAATGAGCATGGTCAGTTCATTTTTGTACAGATTGGTACAGAGCATAATTTCAAATTAAGTAATGACTTTATATGGTGACGCAGATATTCTACTGTGTATTTATATGATTCTCTTTTATTAAAATGTTTATCTCTAATTTGGCCTGATATAAACTGTTCAAAGTTCTCTTATTTCTTCAAGCAACTTGTGTGGATTTTGAATATGTAAGCCTTTTGCTATGCTCTAGATATAGAGAGATGTGAAATATTTGATCTTAACCTTCCGTGCGTTTTTGATGTAGTGGAAGTAATACCTGTAAGCTAACAATTACATGTCAAAACATTTTTAAAAGCCCTTCTGAAATTATAAAAGATATGGTTTATAAGAAAAAGCTGTCAATTATGTTTGGAAGTATTGTTTAAGGAAGCTTGTCTTAAATTAAGTTGTCAAAATTGAGGTTGTCTGCTAGGAAGAAAGAAAAGAGAAGAAAGGGGCATTTAGTAGAACGAAATTTAAAGGCAAGAGACAACTTGGGAAATTAGGTTTAAGTAGATTATAGCAACAGGTAAAGTATAAATAGTAACACAAAACTGAACTATGAGTTAGTATTGAAGAATTGTGACTTCAGTGGATAAGCTATGTAAAGATACATTTGAGAAAAGGAAAAATCAAAGGCAGCAAAGTTTGAATTTCACTTTGTAGAACAAGAAACTGTCCTCCAAATGTGGTTAGTGCAATGAACACTCACATTTTCAGTTTTGTCTTTGTTCAGAAACTTGGGAGTGGATTAGATGAATGGTTATTGCTCAGAGTTCTTCATGAGATTGTTGTCCCGAAATGGGCTTGGCTACAGACTCACAAAAGGTTAACCATGGAATCTATTTCCAGCATTTCTTCCTCGCATGACTTGGCAGGAAGCTAGTTTCTTGCCATACGGATTTCCCCATACATCTGTCTTGGTACTCCTGGCATTTGCATGATGACAGAACAATCTAGGATGAGACCAGAATGTTTCTTATGATATAGTTTTGTAAGTCATACAGGTCAACTATGAAATACTGCTGTGTTGTGCTTGTACAGTTGAGTCTTTATCTATACAAGTCAGGTGTGAATAACAACACAGATTCATCTCGGCACCATAGTGGAGTTTCACTATGAGAAAAATGTTTAGAAAGATAACAGGCGTGAGGCATTCGTGGCCCACGCCTTTAACCCTAGCATTCGGGAGGCAGAGGCAGGCGGATCTCTGTGAAGTTTGAGGCCAGCCTAGTCTCCAGAGAGAATGCCAGGATAGGCTCCAAAGCTACACAGAGAAACCCTGCCTCAAAAAACAAAAAAAGAAGAAGAAGAAGAAGAAGAAGAAGAAGAAGAAGAAGAAGAAGAAGAAGAAGAAGAAGAAGAAGAAGAAGAAGAAGAAGAAAGAAAGAAGAAAGGAAAAGAAAAGAAAGATAACAGGCAAAGGTTAACGAACAGCTTTTAAGAATATCTGCATTAAAACATTGTCTGTGGAAAAGACTAAAGTGTGGTAAATGAAGTTAGGGCAATAGTAAAGTGTGTTCTGGGAAATCAGAAGCGGTAAGTCACTTAATTTGAAGGAAGATAGGGAAACACATAGGATATAATAATGATGAAATGATTAATGACATCTTCCAATGAATTATAAAAGTTTTAAATCCAATGACAAAAGAAATGAAAAGTGAAAAAGACAGATATTCCTTTGAGGTAAAGACTAAAAAGGGTGAGGGACCCAGATGAAATGAGCAATATGAGAAGGCATTGTTTATGAGATGGGAGAAATGAGGATACTGAGAGAGAAGGACAAAATATTTAAACCATGGAGAAATAAAAAGGAAAATATTAGAGGAAGGTTTTCACAAGCCATCGTAGGGTAAGATGTTCTTCCAAATTTGGGTAAATTTCTCTCCCCTTCTAATGAAAAGTATTCCTGATTATGGAAATCAGTGACACAATGGTTCCAGTGTTTCAGGAAGAGTAAAGATCATTGATTCATAACCATAATAATGGGAGCACTTGAACCTGAAATAGAGAGTTCAAAAAAAATCAGATAAAGGAGAAGTCAATTTCATTAGTACTGGCCCAACCTGGAAATGGGTTGTTAGAATTTAACTGTAATGGTAGTTCCCACATCTGAAGCTGTGTACAGAAAGGCAAACTAAGCCCTCTGTGATCATTTCTTTTTTTTTCAACTATTTTTTAATTTGAATTAGAAACAGGATTGTTTTACATGACAATCCCAGTTCCCTTCTCCCTCCTGTCCTCCCAAAACACCACCCCCCAAATAAAACCCTATCTATCACATACCCTTTCTGCTCCCCCTGAATGGTGAGGCCTTCCATAGGGTGTCATCAGAGTCTATCGTATCCTTTGGGATAGGGCCTAGGCCCACCCCCATGTGTCTTGGCTCAGGGAGTATTCCTCTATGTGGAATGGGCTCCCAAAGTCCACACCTATGCTAGGGATAAGTACTGAACTTCTACAGGAGGTCCCATAGATTTCCTAGGTTTCCTCACAGCAACCCATGTTCCTGGGTTGTAAATCTGAGATAACAATAATTTCTGCTATGGAGAGTTTCAAGAAGATCAATTGAGATAATACATGATTCTTTTTTTTTTTTCACAAAAGAACTTACTAAACATTTAGTAAGAGGTAGCTACTACAAGAGAAAGATTTTGCTTATATTCTATGATGCATACTGGGAATATCTTTCTATTATTTTTATAAACGGCACACTTTAGTTTCAAGCATGTTAAGAAAAAAAACCGTTTGAAATACAATAAATGGATTTTCTTGGGATAGTTATAACCTGCTTCTCTAAATCAAGGAATTTTATATAAATGCTTAAAGAAATTCAAGGACTAATTGTAAGTCAACAACTAATTCTCCACATGATCCAAGAATGTTTAGTTAGCCAATAAACAAATACCCCTATCTACCTCATCTGCCCTGTCTTTGTCAATTTAATTTAGTCAGACCCCAAATAATTAGACAATTATCAATTGCATCCTTATTCTTCCGGTCAATAAAAATCACCATTTATTGAAAACAGGCTCCATTTTTGCATGTTCCTTCTCTTAATCCTGAGGGAGGGGATAACTATTATTTTACTAAGAAGAGATATTTGAATCATTTTAATATCCAGAAAAGTTACTTCATAAAATTGTCTTCCAGACTATAAGGAAGTTCTAGAAAAACAAAATAACATAATTTGCATATGAACCAAAGCCAGTCCTCAATGTTTCATATCAGTGTTTCCCAAATGGCTATAACCAGAAGAAAAATTGCTTATATTTATATATTCAAATAAAAGGTTTTTATCCTGAATTATAATATTTTTGAAAAACACATCTGTTGGTACAAAACTATTTTGTAACATTGTAGAAAGATATGTATAACATTTAGAAATATGCTTGGCAACACTAGGAAATAAGACAGCTAATCTCTCCAAGAAGCCTATATTGTCTTCTGTGTAAGCAAAGATGTGTAAAGATTTGGGTATTCTGACTTTGATGTGTGCTTTAATGATAAATTTTATCCTCTATTTCTGAAGCATAAAACAAGAATATTAAGAAGTCCTTTCATGAGGGAGCAGGAAGGTTGATTTGGGGGAAGAGTAGAGGAGAGAAAGAAAAGAGATGCCATAATAGAGGGAGCCATGATAGCTTTAAAGAGAAATCTGGCACTAAGGAAATGTCCAGAGATCTACAAGGATGGCACAAACTAACAATCTAAGCAATAGCGGAGAGGCTACCTTAAATGCCCTTCCCCAATAATGAGATAGATGACTAACTTATAAGCCATCCTAGAGCCTTCATGCAGCAGCTGGTGGAAGTAGAAGCAAACACCCACAGCTAAACAATGAACTGAACTGGAATCCAGTTGCAGAGAGGGAGAAGTGATGAGTAAATGGGTCATGTCCAGGCTGGTGAAACCCACAGAAACAGCTGACCTGAACAAGGGGGAGCTCATGGTCCCCAGACCCATAGCTGGGGAACCAGCATGGGACTGATTCAGACCCATTAAAGTGGGTGTCAGTAAGGAGGCCTCAGAAATCTATGGGGCCTCTTGTAGTAGATCAGTACTTATCCCTAGCATAAGAATGGACTTTGGTAGCCCATTCCACATAGAGGGATACTCTCTCAGTGTAGACACACAGGGGAAGGCCTAGGCCCTGTCCCAAAGGATATGACAGACTCTGAAGAACCCCCATGGAAGACCTCACTCTCCCAGGGGAGCAGAAAGGGAGTGGGATGGGAGTTGTTGGGGGGCCAGGGGAGGAGGGGAAGGAGAGGGAACTGGGATTGACATGTAAAACAAGCTTCTTTCTAATTTAAATAAAAAAATCTGAAATAAATCCTTTAAATTTTTTTCAACTGTTTACTTCAGAGTTGTATTATGAATGTGTGTGTGTGTGTGTGTGTGTGTGTGTGTGTGTGTGTGTGTGTGTGTGTGGGTGTGTGTCCTCCATTTTGGGAGGGACTTTGAAAATATGCAAGCCTACTTTGGCAAAAAATAAGCTGAAAATTATGACTAACTTGCAAATACACATTTATATATGAATTTATTTAGTTATAGAGGTGTGCAAATATGAATTCATTCCATAGTTGTAACTACAGACCACTGTGTGAATCAAGGTAAACCCCTGAAATACATGAGCAACTCCAAATGAAGACAGACTATACAATGAACAAACAGATTATTACTGTCTTAGTCACATACATTTTTGCTTAATAATATATAGTCATTGGATGTTTGTGTTATATTTAAATACTTGGTGCCAAGATACCCTTGTATTGAAGTGTGACTGAGTCAATTTGGCACATGTGACCATTGGCCTGAGAGGCATACTGGCCCATGCTGTATTTTTGGACAAATTCTATGGATTTACCTGCTTTCCCAGGTGTTCTGTGCTTGGTGCAATGCTGTGCCTGTAATGGTTCACACATTGATCCCTTGATTCGGTGGTTAATTAAGATGTATTTTGCAGCACAGCCCATGGATTCCAAGGCTCAGAGGATTAGTCGATAGTTTTCTGCAGCTCTGTCATTAGCAGTGCAAAACCTCTTAAAGGCACAGTATTTTTTTTTTTTAGTTTGTACTTTTCCTTGTATGTTCAATAATGATGTACTCAGAGATGGAGTAGAGGCAGGTGGCAGTTACAGCATAGAAACCTAAGTGGGCCTGGATACTGAAATCAGATCACAGAAATGCACATTGAGAAAATGTGGGTACAAGTGGTTTGTGTGAACCCATGTCCTTATTAACGGAAGGAAAATGATCCAATGATATCCATAGGGTGTTCTAAATATCAAGTCATTAAAAATAGGACAAGGCATTTTGAAATCCATAGAGAATTCTACAGAAGCTTTGTAATAGATATCCATCAGAAACAGCTCCTAGGATTGTCTAAAAGTATGCATAAGAAGAGAACAAGTGCAACAAAAAAAAATACAGAAATACAATACTTGGACCAGAACATTAAACAGGGTTCCATGTAAGGATATAGGAATAAATTGTGGTGTAGAAAAATCATGAAGGCAGACAAAGGCCAATGCTTACATTTAACAAGTACAATCCATTTGGACAGTTACACTGCTGACCATTTGCCTTTCTCTGTGCATCAAAGGCTGTGGTAGAATGAATGACTACTTAGTGTCCCCAAAGCTCTCATTGGATGAAAACAACAGAGCCAAGATTTTTCTCAGGAGAATGATCAGAGCTCATGACCATGAGACATGAGAGTATACTCACATAGCTAGTCATATGACCATGCACCTCCACAGAAATGGCAGGTGGTGCCTCTTTCTTTGCCACATTGTACTATACACTATGTTTGTATCCACAGAAATAAGGTTCTATGGTCACCAAAGCTAATCTTTCAGTTTTATATTAAGGGTAAAATATCATTAGAATAATTCATAAGGGGGATAGATGTCTACTCAAGAACTGGTATGTTCAGAGAATTAGAACTATTCTCCTTGTCTTTGGAAAGAAATGAATATTGACTGATTTCACTTCCTGCAATGAGAGAATTTACTTCATAGAATCAAAGAAACCCACACATACTTAGCTGGCTCACTGAGACCTATTTATATAAAAGCACAGGTTGTCCCTGATGTTTGATTAATGTGCTTGAGTCTCTGTTATCAAAAAAAAATCATTTAATGAGACTGGAGAGAGATGAGCCTAGAATCAGGTAACTATTGTGTAAAGCAGTCCACAGCTTGTGAATGATCAAATATTTTAACCTTATTTTTTACCTTTATTTTTAACCTTAATCGTTTGTTTAGAATTACTAGATTTTCTTTTTCTTGTCTTCGTCAAGTAGTTTTCCAAACACAATTTCTTCAGCACTACTTTATACAAGTCTCTCTTCATTGAAATAACACTGCCTATCAACTTTTACCAGGGTTTCCATCACAGTTCTCTGGGCAGCAGCAAGGGAGGGTGCAGGATGGAACCTCTCTCTCTTGGGGATCATTTTCAGAGGAGTAGGTAGGGCTTTAGAAGGAGATAGGGAAGCTGAATGCCTAAGCCAGCATGAGTTACAGTGTCACAGGTTAGAGCAGGAGTGATTGCTTACAAGTCAAATGTAAGTAACATGTTTTCTATAGACTAAAAGTATTGATATTAGACATCCCCTCATAACTTCAGGTCAACATTACAAAGACATTTCTGGGGGATAAGAAGAGCATTCAGAGAAAGGTTTTGCTGATACTATGCTATAACACTGGTCCAACACACAGTTAACCTATGTTTGAGAACATACATTTACTTTAAGAAAAAATAAGATAAATTTATTATTTGACGTGTATAGGTGGTTTTCCTGCATTTGTATCTGTGTATCAAAATTGCTCAGTCACTACAGAAAGCAGGAGAGAATGTTGGATATGGTTTAATATGGCTCTTTCACAAGCTTGGTGCTATTTGGGAATTCAGGGAAAACTATGAATTCGAAGAGAATGGTGGCTGCTGAGTGTTAGAGAAATGACTGGCTTTCCACATTATACTTCAAGCCCTGGACTGCACAAAATAATGAATCACACCTTAGGGTGATTCTTTATTCACAGATCTTTCAAACATGCCTTTTACATCCTAGAATTCTCATTCAGAACATGCAAACGGGTAAGTGTTTACTGTCCTCATAAAGGAACTTTCCCCCAAACTGAATTCTATTGGAATTTGGTCTACCAAGTCTCAGTTCATTCTTGGATAAATAATTTGGATAAGGGATAAATGTATCCTCACAGGAAGGTAAAAAACTGAAACTTCATTTTGGGGTTTTCTATATGTGATTCTAGATAACTCATTTAGATTATGACAGCAAACAGCTTCAGTACCAATAGTAGTTATGCTATACCTTCAGGGAACATAAATGCATGGTGTATATATATTTCCTCTGTTGCCAATAAGGATGTAAGGAAGAAATCAGTGTCTTCAGAAAGTTACCTGATTTATTAAGTTTCTACATTAAAATAAGTAGAACTTATACTACTAAAATAATTACTCACTAAAAGTGACACCTGCTACTTAGTCATTTAGTGAAAAAACAGTATAAAAATTGGGGAATTAAACATGTTATTAGTTCTGGAGAGTTGGTTCAGTAGTTAAGAGAAATGACTGCACTTCCACAGGATCTGGTTTTGCTTCCCAGCCCCAACATGGTAGAAGCAACCATTTGTAATTACAATTTCAGGGGATGCTACATTCTCCTATGGACTTTGTGGGCACTATCCACATACATGGAAGAAATATACACAGGAAAAACACGCATATACATAAAATAATAAATAAATCTCAAAATAAATTTTAAAATGATTCTCAAAAATAGCATAAGTATGTGGTAGGTGAGTTTTAGAAACACAATAGCTTCAATTCCATTCTTCAGACCCTCTTCTTCTTCCCCTGCAGAAATTACTACATATAATTTTAGCCATTGCAATTAGTAGAAAATCTATTACTTAAATTTATTTTTGACTTCCATACTATCACATATACTCTATGACATTCTGCTATTCATGCCTTGCTTTTGAGTTCAGTTTCCTTTTAAAGCTCTAACTACCTGTCCCTATTGATGAACACCAGAGGGCTTAGTGAGAAAGTGTGAAGGTAGTACTCCATCCATCCATCTTGTACCCTACCTCTGGCAACATTAGGTCTTTTTATAACCAATTCCCTGGTAAAGTGGGAACATGCAGAGACTAGGGTATACATTATATTTCAGAGATGAAAGAGTTTCATGAACCTGAAGTATTTATTTGTGGGACGTTCAATGCTGGCTATCTGGTATGTTCTGAATCTTATTTTCATGAAAGCAGAGCCCTGGGTCACTCTCAAAACACACTTCTCAGAGAGTTGTGTATCTCTCAAATCCCACGGGCATCTCTACACTTAGGCTGAGAAGGGAGTAGCTAATGGAGTTTAAAAGGTTACCTTCATTAACGAGAAATACATCCAAGTGAATAGCCTTCTTTCAAAGAAACCACAATCCAAATAAGCACTATTAAATGAAATGAAAGACAGATGCATCTCTGCAATATTTTCTTGGTTTTCTTTCCCATCCCTCCTTGTAAGTGTGTGCCACCTGCTAGTCCTCCTTGGAACTTGATTAGACTTCAGGGCCTCCATAGTGTCCAAAGGTGAGCACAGATCAATTTCCTGCATCTTTTCAGCCATGGTAAATCATTTATTGGGATGAATGTTTTACAAAGCCAGAGAAGAGGAAAACTCATGAAAAATAAATATGATGAAACACACTGTGCCCTCCTAAAGCAGCCTTCAGGCTTCCCAGGCTTAAACTCAGGCATTGAAGCAGTTAGAACACTTCCTATCATTCCACAGCACTCTGGCTGGTTGAACTCAATTAACACACAGTGCTACTAAGGCCAAAAGGGGATATTATTTCCTCACATGGCATTATATAATTTGGTTCACTATATGCACTACACTGTGTTGTAGGTTTGTTTTTTCTTCTTGTTGTTTTTGTCTAATCCAAGGATATGACATTATCATGTTAGGGAATTTCCCTGACAAGGTGATAGAGTCACTTATTCCTTCTTTCTGAAAATTAACAAAAGAAAACACAACATATAAACAAAAAATAAACAAGGAAAATACTTCACCTAAGTGGGGCCATTAAGCCTTAATTATAAAAAGTAACCAAATAATACATCATTCATACATAAAAATGTTTAAAAACAGCTTATTTTAACTAGTGAGTCAAGTAACAACAGTTGATTTTCTAACAATGAAACTATTTTCAATGGTGTATTTAAATTATAGCCCTGAATATGGGGTATGGCCCAAACTAAAACCCATCAAAGATTAACCATGTGGATAAGAGCAGTGAGAACTTCCATCTCTCCTGGACTGGTTTTCTCTGCCTTTGCTGCAGATTCCAGTGTTTCTGTTACCCAAAGATAATATAACCGAGGAGGAAATCATTGATGTGCCTGTAAAAATTGGTGGAGGCATTTCTGTACACAACAGTAATACACTGTGAAAATTTGGTGATTATTAGGTATAGACATTCTAAGTCAGATGGGAAAACAAATAATAATAAAAAAAAAAACTCGTCTCTGCAAGTTTGAGAAAAGAATGGCAATCATGAGTCAAATGGAAAGGATTCTCCAAGACAACCAGAAAACCATAAAAGACTGAGTAGAATGTTAACCCCTGGTTAACTCATGGTGTGAGTTACAATAAATGTCTCAAAGATTTCTTCATTGTAAAAATAACATTTATGTTTGTACCGTCTTGAGTAGCTTTTTATTACCTGTCTGTAGAAACCCTCTTTTGGGATATCTTTAAAGTCTCTGATGATATCTGTGTTCATGAGGGTGATCTTACTGTGATTCTGATTGTCAGTTCATCTCCAGAAACATTCAATAGATTGGAGTTTATACTATTTTCTATGCTTCTACCCATCACTCCTATCTAGTCCATCTCCTGCAATGCAATACTATCTATTAATCCAAGAGGAATTTTGCATTCACCAAATCAAGGATTCCTGAAATAGTTTCATGCATTATCTACCCAATGACATTGTCCACATATCCCTTAGCATCTGTGCTCTTTGCCATGGTCAAATTCTCACCAGATTACCATTACAAAAATACATTGTTGTACCAGGATATCTTTCCAGCTCTTATCTGATAAATGGTAAACCACTTTAATATTTAGAACCTA